CCCCTCCCCCAAAAACCTCTGCCCCTAACCCGCACCCATAACGCAATACCTTAAAAATGTTTGTTTTAGAAAGATTTTACGGCGCTCGCAACTGCATACCTTAAAAAAGTGCAATCTGATTTAAAATAGAGCCCATTTATTAGCCATTTCGATGACAGCCATTGTTATGGTTCCGCCCTGATAAACAAGGCGAGATGGAAATTACGACTGTGGGAGAGGGATCGCCCTGAGGTCTCTGCACCTCTGTGATCTGCTGTGACGCTGGATGTATCCCCAGAGATGCTGTATTGCAGACGTTTTTACGGCTTTTTTCAAGAGGCACGCAGCCCGACCACCCATGGGATCTGGTCTAAGCCACATCAGCAGTAAAAAAGAAGAAAAAAAAATAACTTTGGAAAATGATAGAACTCTTTGAAAGTGTCATTTCTCTTTTTCATTTTTTGTCAAAGGCATGATGAAATCTTTGAGCTTTCACAGAAGGGAAATTACTTAAGAATGAAGTTTATGTCCTCCCATATCGAGGCTTTTCAAAAAGAAATAGAACAAACATTAAATCAACATGATTGTTTCCTTTTTCAACTGAACGTAACATTCTTCGGTTGATATTGTCCAAGCAAGAAAAACATAAGAATAAAATGCTGATATATTCGGCTTGTTTGTGTACAGATAATGGAAACTACAATTTATGGATTTATCTATGAACGATACCGTAGCATACCGTATAGTATGTGTCATGCATTACGTACCAACTAACTGATCTACTTCGGAAATTTATCCCCTCCAGCTCCTTCTCCGGATCTTGGATGTTTTAAAAGTTGCTTGAGGACTATATGAAAGGAAAAAAGCGAAACGATATCAATTTACAGAGAAAATGAAATAGTATCAACGCTAATAGATTATTTAACGTCCATCTCCGAAGGGACCAAGCCAACTAAAAATAAATCGTGTAAAGTCTACTTCCCCCTCGAAACCCCGAATTTGCAATTTTCTGATTACTGGTCCGATAGCCTTACCTCTTACAAGGCCACCGACAACACTTCTTTTTATAGCATAACATTTCTTATCAAGACTTTGATAATCATGAATTGCATGATTTGTATAGCGCATATTCCCGCTCAGTACCAAGCTGAATGCGCTTTACAATCTACATTATTTCCCCAGTAGACGTTGTAGCATTGTGCAATAATCTCAACTTCCTGAGAAACGTAATACACACATTATGAAATCTTGTATTGAACACATACACATCTGTAATAGCTAGTTTCTTTACGGGTCGTGTTAACTTTGATAATTTTTCATCGATTTTTTTTACATCTTTCTTCTTTGTTTTTTCTTTCAAGGGTGGAGGGGGGGGGAGGGGGGTGCTTTGGTTCTCATCAATCTTCCTACGCAGTTTTCATAATGAACGTTCCGTACTTTGCATGGCTTCAAATTAATAAACATCCAAACAGGATACAAAAGGAAAATAAATAGATTATGTCTCAAGAGTCCTTAAATCATACAGAAAACTCTTGATAACAAAAAACAAACAAACACAAAAGCTTTTGCTTATCAAAATAGTTCGTGTTAATTGCTCATACTTGTATTCTCCTCCCACACGGATTTCCCTCGACCTTCCTTTAAATGTCAAACGTTGAGCCGTCAAGCGAAATATTTTATCTTGATTAAAAGCGTCCAATCTCTCTCATCCCACAAATGTAGCCCCTGGCAAGGGATTGCGATGATCCTCCAGGCAAATTAACACACTTCTAAGAAAGCATTGCATTATCAAACCTTTCAATCCCCGCCGGTCTGTTCCTTCCTTTAGAAATCTAGATCAGGCACTCAGAAACTTTGAATTGGCGCTAAAGGTGTGGGGAGAACCGCTCGTTCAACTCAAAATTGTCTCTCACGAAGTTTTGCAGTGCCTAGACAAAAGCTTTCATCTTCCATAATATCAATGATTTTGTAAAATTATTTTTGTATCACATTTTGAAAACAAAAATAAAATAAGGAAGAATTTTAAAAAGATTTGTAAACCAAACTAAAAGGACGGAAGACTAAGAAAGCATCATAGAAAAGGTCTCAAAGGTCTCATATTTCTGCTAAGCTAGTTATCAAATTAAAGATATTGAGCTTGGATTAATTAGTTCACACTGAAAAATATATTTATTATGAGGCTGTTACTGTTTTCATATTGTTCATGATGTGGGATAAGATAGTGTGTTAGATCTGACCGACTTTTTCGAGAAACCGAACTTTAATAAATAAAAATAAAATAAATTACACTTGTATTTGACCCAGAAGGGCACTTTGTTTTACAATGGCAAACATACATACATAAATACATAATTATAAATACGTACATACATAAATACGTACATACATAAATACATACATGCGGAAATGCATACATAAATACACATTATTACACAAATACAGAACAGTT